TTGAGAACACTTACATCTTTCTATAAAAAGTTAGATTTTGATAAATAAAATCGGACTTCCATATTGGGCTTCATTTGTCCACTCTGGTAACAAATTAAGAAATTATATTCTTGAACACTGCTCCTCTACAGGCGGTGTTATAAGTTGAATAAATTGGGGTTAGACATAATTAAATATTACTTTTATCTAATAATGTGTTTTGTTTATAAGTCAGAAATATCATTAATACTAATTAAATAGTTAACAAAATAGAAATACCATTAAGGTAACACCAGGGCATGATTACACTGAGGATTCGAAAGGTCAAACTCGATATAAATTCATAAGCTGTACTAAATAATTAGTAATCAAATTAAATTCAAATTATAATGATATACATCCTTAGAGTAGTTTTCAAAATAATCAGTTAGCACAGTTAAATAAAGAAAAACTAAATAAAACTTTTGAGTTTTATTTATGGAAATAAATCATAAACTAAACTCTAGAGGAAAAATGAAACCTAACTCATGCTTCAGTGATGTGAACATACTTTTAAAGGCATGTTTTCGCTTATCCTCAATATTGAAAATATTCCTCGATGCGGCATTGTATGGGTTATGAATATCTTTTCCCCAATTCCTTAGGGAATCATCGCCATTTAAACTGTCCAGAATCTTAACTTTAGAGGCTTGAAAAAACCCTTGATTTTATACGTTCACACATTTTTTTATTAATGAACTATATATGCATAATGGTTTTTACAACAAAAATACAACTACAAATCTAATGAGAAAAAATTATGTAGATAGATTTTTTCAGTGATTTTTTTTAGTTTTTGCTATATGTAACTTCGAGGGTAGGAGAATGTTATACGCAATACCATTCTTTAATTTTGGTCTTGCATCTGTATGCGATTGTATTTTTATTAACTGCTTATTTAAAATTTACTGTTCCAGTAAAAATAAAAATATCTGTTCAATATATCTGCTACGGTAATTTTATAGAACTAGTATATAGGCCTACAAACATTATTTACTAATTAAAGAAGCTTAATCTCGTTAATGTTTTACGTTTTATACTTTAACCAGTTCGAAACTCAATGAAACGTGACAATATCTGTACGTCGAAAGTTTCATTATTGTCTCGTTGAATTGCAAGGATCAAATCACTAGATAAAGTTGTAAAAGTCTTTCACATTGTATTTATAATCGAAGCTATTTGCCTAAAAAGATCCATAAAAAAATATTGCATTATTCCTAGTTGTCAATTAACCTCAATAAGGCTTATTTTAAGCAACAACAAACTATTAAACTCAATTTATTTTTATTCAAATGGTTTTTTATATTTTTAAAAATATCAATACTTTTGGGTAGGATTATTAAGTAAACAGAAAACACTTAAAACTAAAACTAAACTTTCCATTTGTTCAACCTTTGTCCATCCAATCGCAAACACAGATAAAATACGCCGTTGATTCTTTTGACCATCCAACCGTGCATTAAGAACGTTACTGAAAATACACAGTTTATTTTTAGTAAACCCACTACAAAAACGCACTTGATGGGATATATTTGTGTTATAAGCTTCTTTTGTCCTGCAGTATCTTTCTTGATATTCTATCTTATCAATTGGAGAATGGTTACGGATAATATGTCGCAGATGACATCAATTACATCTCAGTTTAAAAATACTGCTGATGGTTTAGAAATATCAGCCTGCTTTACTGTGTGCAACAAATTTTAAAAATGGCATAAGGTCAATATGAATTTTAAGTTAAACTATAAAGACTACAAGTGGTTTTTAAAACAAGATCCAATCCAGTCAGTAGTACGTTTTCAGAAATATCTTATTTCAACCATGCTTACTTCTAAATCATTGAAATGATGTCCAGCATTAATTGTTATGTCCATAAAGATACTTCAAAAACTAAGTCCACTGGCCAGAATCTTGACTACGTTTTTCAAAGTTACAGTATTGTTAATTACATTCATGATCTATAAGGAAATTGTGCGTACAAACTTATTGCTTCGTTTCCGTACATTGGTGATAGTCTAAGAGGGAATCATAAGGAATTATTTATATTAATTAAATGCTATTTTATTGTATATAAGCATTTGTATTCTTCGTATTGACTAGGTTGGAAAGGGAAAGATATAATGCCCATATAAATCTGGTGAATACAAAATACGTTGCTCGCGTAAGCCTGATATGGGCAAAGTTAGCAACGAAATGTAAATAAAAGTTAGAGAAGAGATGCGGTGAAGTAGTTCTCGATGTATTCCACTCATCTGTTATATAAGTTTTTTTTTGTTTTTTTTTAGGTATCTATATTTTTTATATGCCAACAGTATAATTCACTCTTTAGTTCAGAATATAAATTACTGTTTGAAACAAATTGTATAATTATTAAACGTGTATTTATTTAGATTTTACCAAATAGTACTTACTGAAGCTATAATGTGGTTTAAGACAGACTTTAATCGGTGTAATGGTTTAAAATGTTTGTTACCGTTGTATAAATATAATAAATTGTTAAACTGATTATAAATATAAAAAAATAATTTTTAATGTCTATGCTTGAATTGAAGATTTTCCACTTAATCCTCGTGGGCCGCCCCCGTTGTGATATAAAAAAAACTACAGTTTCCTCGGGTTTTTGACATCATTTTCTACTATTTTAGACCTTTAATTTGGTGTTAATCTAAGCTTTATTTTTAAATGTTTCCACTTACTCCTTGTGAGGTTGTGAGATCAAAAAACCGCAGTTCCCTTAGTAGATTTTATGAGTATCGGAGATGTCCAAATTTATACTGATTTACATATAAACCCAATGATGAATCTTCCTATGAAGAATGTATAGTTGTTAAAACTATATTAAACCGTTCCTGTACTTTTCTAACACACTGTATACACGCTTTAAATTATAAGTATTACACGTTAAAAGTTTTTTTTTTAGTTGCACGAATAAAAATTTTAAAAAACACGATTGCTTTGAATTAAAATGAAATTAAAGTTTCAATAGGACTAGATTAAGTCGTCATTCCGGAGCTCAAACGGTTTATATGAAAAGGGAGTACTCTTACAAAGTTGTCTTGAATCGCTAATGTCTTATCTAAACATGTTTGGAAGTTGCGGAAGTCGACTGCAAGACGGGAATGAATAATCAACGAGTAGAATTAGCTGCTCTGGAGGGACTAACAGCTATTTTCCTTGTTTGATCACTTCTTCTACTTGGCTTGATAAATATTTCCTTTTATAACAATATAAAATTACTATAATATATCATTGACTATCGTATACTGAATCAATAGTCAAAGATAAAATGGCCTTTTAAAAGAACGTCGTTGTTTCGTTTTTCATGACGGGATTTTACCCTAGAAAGTTCACGCTCATGGATTTCCTGGAGCCCATACAGTAGGAAAAAACATCTCTTCTCATATTGAATGCAATACGGTGATTAAAACCTTTAAAACATAACTTTACTTGAAAACCATTACATCAGTAATTTAATTTTAAACTTTCTCTTTGTTATTTTGTCCAGTCTATTATATAGTTTTTGATGAATTTAAAACCGAACAATGACGAAATACAACAGTCAGTTCTATGACAACTTGACATTTAAACACATCAACAGCATTTATACCATCGTCAATGGCACTTTTTAAAGGCAGACTTATTTTAATCAACTTATTTTTTATCAGTTTCATTTTAATTTCATTTTAAATATGAACGCGTTTGAATAGTTTTTAGGTATTTATGGTTTTTTCAATACATTAAATTAGAACACGACGAAACGTAAAAAAAGGTTAAGGAATGTGACAATATTTTGTCTGAATTAGAACGCATCACATATAAATTTAAAATTGTATGAGTAATAATATTTATTTGGATCGTTTGGTGGGATCCCCTCTCATTTGTTATTGTCTGATTACATCCAGGGCTCATCTTTTACATATTACTTACACGAACACGCATCACACCACACGCAACCATCCAGGGATTCAAGTCCGACGTTTCGCAGACCCAAAAAACAGCCCATTTTCTTCAGGGGTAAACACCTAATTTATCTCCCGCCCTCGGGTCAATAAATATGGCTCAGACTAGTGAAGCTATGTGGATAAAATCTTACACAAAAGCGTATAATTTGAAAACAAAACAATAATAGCATATTTGGACCATATGATAATCCCATTTGTAAGTAGAATAAGTTTAGCTGGGACTTTATTTTCTAACAATAAAAAAATACTCTAATTTACAGACTAGTTAAATACGTGTGCTTAAAAAAATGAGACTACCATACTTAAACCATAGAGTAGATCTACCATACTGTCAATCTACCATAGACTACCAATCTTAATGTTTTTAAATTCTAAAATTCTAATACCACTACGCAGTGGCTTAATTCTTTCTCTCTGTCGCTATAAACGTCCATTTTCAAATGATATTCAAGTTTATGGACTTAAGTATGTTCTTTATAGTTCATAAATGATAAGAAAATATAACCCATTTGTAACTCTGCATCGTACGTGCCAACAAACTTACGTTACACGCAACAAGCATATTTACTCCGCACAAATCCGGTGACCGTATAGTAAATCTTGAGGTCGAAGGAAACATACGGCTAGTTTCACTCGATAAATCGTGTATTTATTGTACTGCAAAGCGTTGCTGCATCGTCGTGCTGTGAATATCGACCTTATAGCATAGACTGTGAGTGTATTATATTATCCTTGTGTAAACAAAAACAGAGCTACAACTCACTTTACTCCTAATTGTATAAAAATCTGAAGTGTTTCATCATTTCTCTGTTTATGTTATAACAACAAGAAAAATAATTTGGTACGTTTATATTTCAATATATTTTTTAACTGATTTTGTAATAAATGCATGATTAGTTTTCTAGTCATTAATTTAGGTTAGTTAGTAATTAAAATATGTATTCTTATATTACTTTCGAGAAACGTAGCTTTTGACTTAGATACGAATTCACGTAATCGAAAGGTTATGATTTCCAAAACTACACCCATCATTTGTAGCAGCAAGTTGTATTGTAACAGAATAACCCAGTCGTGGTCCGCATCAAGTAGCGCAGCTTCTCTGTATTCTGGACAATCTCTTAAAAACATTTTTACATCGTCTAACGTCTCGTCTACCAATACGTTGTCACCCATGTTGTTTGTCTTATCAGCTATCTCGATATGAAAACACACGTTTAATACATTGTTAACATATAACACATTATAGTAGCGTGTTTAATGTAAGAGATGCAATAATAAAACCTTGATGCTATGATAAGATAATAATTCCTGCAGTTTAAATATCTGCGTCGAATCACGATCATGTTGTTTCAAAACAATACAATAAAATGTACACATTATTTTTTTAACCATTTTTTTAACCATTTTAAGGTGACTTTCAATGTCTTTCTGGTCAATAATGCTGCAAACATTTATGGAAATTAATTTCTTACTCCTCTCATACCAGCAGATTGATTGACAGCTTTGGCTCAATTTTCGTTTGAAAAGGATATGCCTGATCTGGATAAAAAACGTTTTGTTATTTATTTATATAGAAAAAAAACATTTAGTGTAGACTATATGACCGATTCACTATGAATCAATATAGCATTTTTAATTCATAGGGCTGTTCTGAGCTGGAATGTAAGTGCAATAGGAATAGTGGAATAAGTGTAAAACAATTGACACTTTAAGATTGGAAAAATATTTATTTGATGTACTTATAAATATTTACTTTGAATAAGTAATGTTTTATAAGAGATATTTTCAACTTAAAATTACTTTTAAATCGTTTGTGTCAATGTGCAAACGGGGAAGCTAAGAAAAAACTTGAAATAAAATTAGTTTAATTAGCTTAATGGCCTTAATTACCTCTCATATCTTCTTCCCAGCCTATTATGCCTAATTAAACTTACAGATCCGTTCCTACATGCTAGTTCAAGCTGCGTGTAAAAGCTCTGCGTAATTTTTAACTTAAAAGTCTTGAAATTATGCTTGTCCATTTGTGAGATTATATTTTGAATTAAATTTATTATTTATTAATTTATTTAACAAGCGTTACTTGAATAGTTCATTCATCACTCGTCAAAATATCGCCACACTTAGGTTATGTGTAAACGGCTTTTATCCGGACGGTTCTGTATTTTTCTTGAGTTGGTTCAAAGCAATAATAAAATTCCAATGTTGTATTATCTCTGTTAAGAATACAAAATTACGTTCATTACTAGATAAATTAAATATATTCAAAGTCTTTAATTTGAAAAGTATTTCTCAACTTCTTAATATGTACACAAAAACAAAGTATCAACAATAGTCTCATTTAATATACATACCTATGTTACAAATCATAAGGATTGCAGTGGATTCCTCTTTATAGAACTATTTAGTTTCAAATAATATTTATAAGTGTGATTTACAAACATTTATTTACAAACACTGTTTAGCCCAAAGCTGAGTTAACTTAATGACGAAAACTAAATAAATAATATTCAAGGATTTTGAAAACATATTCTGAAATAGACATTGCGTCAGTGTAAAACCAATCCAACTGGCAGCTATATCAATACATCAATCAAAATATCAGTAAGTAAATAACACATGTGTGTTTTCACGATACACGTTTTTTATACGATTATATACTTTACCAAGACACCGTCACAAACATATAATGTGTATACTTATGAAGAATATCCAGTGTTAGTTTCTACCTTTCAAAACACGACTGACATGTCTCATTATAAAACTATCATTATTTTATTTACGACGTAACTCTTATTTCCGCTTGGTTACACATGTATGTGGCTGTACATATTTATCAGAAAAATCACGCCTCACTTTAACCCACGTCATTTATACATGAAGACGTCTACTTCAAATCAGCTTAAAATCGGGGGACAAACGTTTGAAATGTAGTATTTGACTTTTACAATGTTTTGAGCTATGAAATCTCCATAAGTTAATCTCCATAGTTAATCATTATCAACTCATTTCGTAACTAAAAAAGAAGCTAAGGTTCAAAGTGAAACCAATTATAAGAATGCAAAACCTGAATTTTAAAAAGAAAGAAAAACTGTAAATAATCAAACAACTATCAATTGCCAAATAATTATCTTCCTTTGTCGTATTGTAAGTGACATGATGCATTGCATACGTTGACACGTACAAACCCGACAATGGACTATGCACATAATTATCAGATATAAATTAGTTATTATCTTGATGCATTTAACTCACTGTCCCCGTTTACTCTGAGAAACAATGGAAATTATAGTTATTAAATGTGTAGTAGATTAATGTATAAAGGGTTTTTTTATAACATGAAATATTATTTTATTTAACCACAATCAGTGTGAATTGTGAATAAAATGCTTATAGGTTAAGCTGACAAAAGTTTGACTCAAAAATAGTTTTATAGCAGTTGATGGACTCTAAAGTAGGCCTACATCAATAGTCCAGAGTGCTTAGGTAGGCCTATATACATTAATGCTTTAAACCTATAGTTCGAACAATGATGCGATTTGAGTAAAATTATAATTACAAATAGAATTTAACAAATCCTCTATTACATATTCGTAACATCATACGAATGATGCCAAAGGTCGAGTTGTTGATGAATAACCAAAAGTAAAAAACTAATTTCCCCATGGTGTATAAGAGATTAATATTTTAATACTTTTTATACGTTTCATTGAAATGGCAACCATACAAAGTAGGTATTTTAAACCAAGTATGAATGGAGATGAGTGTAGGTTGAGTGGCACGATCTAGCACGATCTTGTAGTCTTAATAGTGACTAAGACCGACATGTTCCTTAGACACAGCTGTTAATTAAAGGACATACAGCTAATAGAAACTAAGGGACCTATACAGTTTATAGTGTGATCTTAACCACATTTTTTGCCCTGATATTAAGGAATTGGTCTAACTACCAGGGGCCTATTGCATAAAACTACAATTTTACAATTTTACAAGTTTACAGGCAAATTTCTGAAGAATTCTTCAAAATGTAATTACAGGTGTTGCATGAACTACAAGATACAGACTTGTAACAACTACTCAAAAACTCAAATTTACAGGCATTTTTTTACAATTTTACAGGTGTATAAACTTGTATTTAGAATAAAATTATTACAGTTTTACATTTACCTGTAGGAATGTAAGATTTGTTTACCTAGCTTCTTAGGCTTGTAAACCTTTGTTGCTATTGTACAATTTATTCTTTTTAAGACAAAAATGTGGAATAGTGATGATTCTTCCTATGAAGAGCCTCCACAACGCCGAAGAAGGACCTTCAAGGTGAGAAAGAATTTCAATTTTGAAAGTGCTTTTAAAATTAACGAAAGATTTCGAATGCCACCCCAAAAACTAGAAGAGATGTTAGAAATAATATGTCCTAACCTCGAAAGTGAAACAGCACGGAACCATGCACTAACATCAAAACAAGTTGTATGTATTGGCTTACATTGGATGGGCAATGGGAGCCAATACCATGGCCTCAGTGACATGCACGGTGTGCATAAATCGACTGTATGTCGTGCCGTCCATAGCTTTGTTAGAACAGTTAACAACACTCTCTTTCCGAGGGTGGTTGATTGGCCTTACGACATTGTAAAAGTTGTTAAAGGGTTCCATGCAATTGCAGAAATGCCACTTGTAATTGGTTGCATCGATGGGACATTGATTAATATGGACGCCCCGGTTTTAAATGAACAACAGTATGTTGACCGTAAGAATAACCACTCCACCAATTGCATGGTGGTTTGTGGGCCAGACTATACTTTCTTCTATGTAAGCGCCAGAGTCCTAAGGAATAGCACGCTCTATCATAGAATGGAGGGTGGTTGGCGCCCTATTGAAGGAGGTGTACTGCTAGAAGACTCCGGGTATCCCCTGCTTGACTGGCTGATGACGCCTACCGGAGTAAACCTCGAAGATCCGGCTGTTGTAAGATACAAACGAAAACACAAGAGTACAAGACGTATTGTGAAAAACTCCCTTGGCATGCTAAAGGAGAAGTTTCCTTGTTCGCCTGCGAGTGCAACCTGTTTTTGCATGTGAAATGTTCAAGTGTTGTGTGGTCATATACAACTACGCACAGCGTGCTGGTTTGATTGAAGTGGTTGAAAATGAGAACGAAGTCGAAGACGACGTAGAAAAACAGAATGTGAATGTGGAACAATTTGACAGAGACAGGAATGTAATGTTGCAGGAAATAATCAACCACTTCAGACATGGACAATAGCCTGAACACTGCCTTTAAGTTAAATCTCCAATATATGACAGTTTTCACATTAATCAAACTGAAGCTTGTTTTCTGTATTGTGAAATAACTTACACAGATAGATATATGTATAATATGTATATATAAATAAAATGTTCATATCTATTTGTATGAATTTATTTATTTATTACATTATTAACAATAATATACTAACAAATAACTATAAAAAATAGAAAATCTTGAAACTAGTTAGTTTTCCATTAAAAACATTTAAAAACCATTATTCATAGTCAAGTGAGCTCACTTATGTCTCATTTTCAAGGGTTTCATTGTCAACAACAATCATATGACAGTTTTGCGCAATTGGAAAGTTTTGTGTGTACTTTGATGGAGGCAATGTTAGTTCTCGTTCAAGCTTTAAAATGTTTAATGAACGTTCATATTTTTCCATCTCCATGATTTCCAGTGTCAACTTGAGTTTTTTTTTATTTCAACTCTTCCTCCTCTTCTTTTTCATAATTTTTTTTTATCCTCACTTTGTTCAACTGGAATTTGGTTGTTAGTAGCCTCAGGATCATCAACGTCTTCTTCATATGTTGCACGATCTGCAGTTATTTCTGAGTTGGTGTTCCCCCATGTGTCGGACACAGGTAGACCGGTCAGCACTTCACTGTCCTTTCCAATTATCTCACTGACTAGAATGTCTGTGTCAATAAGTTTGAACTCCGGCCCACCTCCTGTCCCAGTTGTTCTTGCATTGTCATATTTTTTCTGCAATCAAAAATCATAATAGTTGATACAATTAAAAAAGACTCTCACAATTTTGAAATCATTATTTCCTGGTACCTTGAAATAGGGAACATAAAAAGAACCTATGGTAAACTTTTCGGTCCGCTAAACTCAAAATTTGTTATTGGCATACTATAATGGTTATTAAATAATTGAAACAAATAGATTACAGAGGTAAATAAAGTTGTTTTGATATTTTGTTATTGGTTTAACAATTTTATAGTATGATATGTTAATCAAAACTACCTAATAAAAAATAAGTATTACTGCACATTTTTGTCAACATTTATTAACCTCAAGTTATATCCGCTTTATATTATAGTATTTTAATGATGGTTATATCTACGGTATGATCGAAAAATTGAAAAAGGCCTGATTTCTAATATAAAAACTACTAAATTTTTATCACACTTACCATTGAGTTTTTTCTGATGTTTTGCCATAGCGTGTCTCTTGTGTAGGTGTATTCTTTTTTATAAGGCACAAGTCCCAGGGCCTGCGCCTTCTTATGAATCTCCCTCCACTTGTCATTCTTCATTTGTTTCGTCAGAGATTAAAAAAAAGGCCGAATAAAAAATCTTCCTCTTCCCGAATCTGTTTTAGAATTTCGATTCTTGCTCCCTTCCTAATCGTGTTTTTCATTTTACTAAGTGCTTTCTTTTACAAAATCAAATATATGAAAAAGGAAATAAATAGTGTTGAATTTTTCGTAGTATGCAAATATTGGGCTTGAAGTACAAAAATATACGAGGCAATAGTATTTTTTGACTACAAGGGACTAAGGCCATAATCATATAATCATATTGTTCTAATATGATTTCTTATACCTCCTTTATCAGGTTTTTGTTATTGTAAAATACAAAAATACTGTTTCAATTACGTTTTAGTTACGAACACAACTGCTTTGCTCCTTTCAAAGGTTGCTTTTGAATGGTACGAAAGTAAATAGTGTTACACGCTACAGCGTAATTTCTTGTCAACTTCCTTAAAAAAGAACTTGCTTCATCTTCCGCCTTTGCAAAGTCTGCCTGTTAGCATTTTGTTTGACAATGAGTTTCGGGGTTTTACTCCCCAAGCCATGAATGTACATTGTTTGCAGTTACAAACTACTTAATTGCATACACACACGTCACTCAACTAAGAAATGTAATCACGAGGCATTAATCCCCTTTCTAAAAAACCTAATAACACAACGGGATCCATACTTGGCGGAAGTGACATATTGCTTCCACAAACCTTTACTTTAGTTTGCATTTGTTTGTGAATGTGTTTCAAATATTACAGTAAACATTGTGTTCGTTTCCAATTTGATTTCATAAAATTATTTTTATCAGTAAGCGCACAAAAGCCTTGCGCTACTTTGATTATCATGTTATGACCTGATGGGTTTCTGGTTCGGTTCCTAAATAACGTAATAAATTGTGCTTTATTCTTTATAGTCACTGCTGTGAAATCTTTTCTTTCCCACACCTTGAAACTGTTTCTAAATAAAATGCGTCATGAGGTGCGAAATATACCAAAGAAACATATAAAGAAGAAACATATAACATATAAGAAAGAATATAACTAGAATTTTATAAAACCTCTGGTAAAAGAAAATATCCTTTGTTACATTTTATTTTTATTTAAGAAACTAAAATAAGGACGGGAATAAAGTGACATTATCAGTGACGCCTAACCCCCCCCCCCACACCCTTTTTACGTAAAACCCGTTTCTAAACAAAGGTTTCAAAAGACATTTCAATTTTCTGTCTTAAATATTTCTTGTTTCTCTTCCTTTAACTAACTTTACTCCAACCCAACAACAAATATAAGCATGCATGCAAAGTTCACTTAATAAAAAAATACCGCTATCATTCAGTTTAGTTTTATCCATATTGATTTACTAGCCTTCAATTGTAAGTAGGAGTTATATTAAATCACATTATTACAGAATCTTAATCGTGCATCAGCACCACTTCTGCATTGCTGTTTTGGAACCCTTGAAATTTCTAATTCCTCTCGGGAATTAAAAGAAGCAGAATTTTTGAGAGAAAGAGAAACTATATGGTCCGGTTACGTTTTGATACTAAAGCCTATAGGTGTAACTATTTCATACATCAGATCTAAATAACACCATTGTTCTCTTTCGCGTCCTCTTTTCGTTTCGAAGCACGGGTATAGCTCAATATATAAAAAGAGATATCAATGGAATCTTCATAACCCTTCTTGTTTTATCTATTTTTTATTATTATGTTTACTGTATTTGGATGATACAAGCAGTAAATACATGGTTAGTAAAAAGTGTGGAGACATCTTGTTATTTTTTTAACGGCCCATACTAGAAAAACTAAACTCGGCACACCTTTATGGCATGTTATGAAGTACTTTTTGAGCCTAATTGCTACTTGGTTCCAAAACCCAAATTAGAGAATTGGGGGGAAATTCAAAAGTTTTAAATGTTAAGCCCTCATTTTGAAGGTCGTGATGAAAGAAAACTAACAACGCAAACTAGAGGTCTCTATCTTAACACAGTCAAATATGGCAGCTAATTGAATATAAAATTGAAAGTTATATCTGATTTCTAAAGATTTCAATCAGCTTCCATTTTTTACTGGATTGACATAGAAACCCCTGCATACGTTGTTAGTTTTCGTTTACCAGGACCTTAAAAATGAGGGGTCACTCGATAGGACTTTGTATTTGAAATTTTGAGTTTCCCCCTAAATCCCCCATTTAGGGAATGTACACTAAGTGGCGGTATATGCTTCGAAACGGAAAGAGGACGCGGAAGAGAACAATGGTGTTATTTAGATCTGATGTATGAAATAGTTACACCTATAGGCTTTAGTATCAAAAAACTTAACCGGACCATATAGTTTCTCTTTCTCTCAAAAATTCTGCTTCTTTTAATTCCCGAGAGGAATTCGAAATTTCAAGGGTTCCAAAATTGCAATGCAGAAGTGGTGCTGTAAGATACTGTAATAATGGGATTTAATATAACTCTTACTTACAATTGAAGGCTAGTATATCAATATGAATAAAACTAAATTGAATGATAGTGGTAATATTTTATTAAGTGAACTTTGCATGCATACTTAAGGCCCGTTCACACGGGGCAAGTTTACAAGCTACACGCCAGCGTGTAAGAAGCCGGCGAGTTGGCGAGTGTGCTTGTATTCGTTCACACGGAGCTTGTCCACTCGCCAACTCGCAGACGTGTAGAAAGACGCCGGCGAGTCGGCGAGTGCGCTTGTAGTCGTTCACACGATGCTTTTTCCACTCGCTCAGTAGCTGGCTTGAACCAAATCCTCCAACATCTTTGAGTAACAAGCGCACAAGCACAAGCAACTGTGTTCACACTGGGCTACTTTACACGCCTACTCGCTCAAAAGCTGGCGAGTTGGCGTGTAAAGTAGCGGCAGCGTCAACTTTTTCCAGAGCTTTTTTACAAGCAGCTTTTGAGCGAGTACGTCGTTCACACTGAGCTATTTTACTAGCTGCGTGTAAAAAATCCGGCTTGTAGCTTGTAAACTCGCCCCGTGTGAACGGGGCTTTATATTTATTGTTGGGTTGGAGTAAAGTTAGTTAATGGAAGATAAACAAGAAATATTTAAGACAGGAAACTGAAGTGTCTTTTGAAACCTTTGTTTACAAACGGTTTTTACGTAAAATGGGGGGGGGGCAGGCGTCACTGATAATGCAACTTAATTTCCGTCCTTATTTTAGTTTCTAAAATAAATGTAACAAAGGATATTTTCTTTTACCAGAGGTTTTATCAAATTCTAATTATTCATATTCTTTTTTATATTTCACACCTCATGGCGCATTAGAAACAGTTTCAAGGTGTGGGAAAGAAAAGATTTCATAGCAGTGACTATGAAGAATAAATCACAATTTATTACGTTATTTGGGAACCGAACCAGAAACCCATCAGGTCATATCATGATAATCAAATTAACGCAAGTCTTTTTTTCTCTTTACTGATAAAAACAATTTTATGAAATCAAATTGGAAACGGATACAACTTTTACTGTAATATTTGAAACACACTCACAAACATATGCGAACTAAAGTAAAGGTTTGTGGAAGCAATATGTCACTTCCGCCAAGTATGGATCCCGTTGTGTTATAAGGTTTTTTTAGAAAGGGGGTCAATTCCTCGTGATTACATTTCACAGTAGAGTGACGTGTATGCAGTTAAGTAGTTTGTCATAAGTAATGTACATTCATGGCTTGGGGAGTAAAAACCC